AGATTAACTCACTCTGAGGTAGGATACACACAACTGACCACCATCACATTCTAAAAAATAAAAATATTTCATTTTAACTGAGCAGAGACAGTAGCTGCTTTAAGACCTTCAGAAAACAAGGCACAAATAAAATCCATTCGCAAAGAATTGCTTATTTCCTTGAACGCAACATACCTTCTCCATACCCCTGAGGAACTTGTCTGTTCCTGTGTAGTTTCTTCTTGGCTCAGTAAGAAGCTCACAAAGACGCTGAATGGTGAAAGGAATCCTGAAAAAAAAATTTTTTTTTAAATTTAAATAGTTTCACCAAGGGACTGTGGAATATGTTTGTTGAACCTTACCCGTTGTATCCATTGACGATTTTGAGAATCCTCTGCTTCATCTCCTCAAAGGGAATGTACTCAACGTTTGGATTGGCAGGTCCCCGTTGCTCTGGACATGAGGCTTTAAAATCATCCATCACTTTCTCCAGTTTAAAGAGGAAGTAACCTTTAAACTGAGACCACTGAATCCTGATGATTTAGAAAAGAATGATTTAAAATGAAGATAATTATGATGAAACAGAATCATGGAAATTAGAAACTTCACATTTACAGTTTATTGTAATTGTTTACACAAACAGCACACTCTGAATAGGCAAAAATTGCTTTTAAAGTCAGCATGAAAAGGAAATTGCGATCATCTTTTCTTCTCTATTGTGACGTATATTCTTGAATGAGAGAAAATATAGGGCAGGATTTTGTGAATTTGTTCAACAGGATTATGTCCATCGTTTGCTAATTGCTGCGATCTCATGTGAGTGACAGTGACAAAAAAATATTGATGTGCACGGATAAACCATTTATAATAACACTGCAAATATTCCATAAAAAATAAGAATTGCAGATTGATTTCATGGTGACCTTAAAGGGGCCATATGATGCAATTTCAAGTTTTCCTTTCTCTTTGGAGTGTTACAAGCTGTTCGTGCATAGATAAGATCCCTAAAGCTGCAAAGACAAAAGTCTCAAACCCAAAGAGACATTCTTCATAAAAGTTAAGAGTTAACCACGCCCTCCTAAAACGTCTCATTTAAACACGCCTCCACATGTCTACGTCACTGTGTGGGAAGATTTGCATAACGCCGCCCAAATGTTCACGCAAAGAAAGAAGGCGTAACTTTTATTCTCACTGTAGTATTGTTGTTGCCGCCGCCATGTCGTGGAGACACTGTGTGTTTCATTGTGAAAGCGAAACTACTTTGTTTGGTCTTCCTAAAGAGGACACAACTAGAAATCAGTGGTTAAGTTGTATTTACAACACTGTTCCAGAACAGTTCAACCCAAATATTCAGATGTGTGCAACGCATTTTACGGAGAACTGTTTCCTGAACCTGGGAGAGTAGACTACAGTGCACAAAGGTTGTTTCTATAAAGTGGGGCAATTCCAACTTTGCAAGGACAGTCTGGCACTTCTGACTCACAGTCTGCAAGTACGTTACGCGTTTCAGAAAGGCGGGGCATAGAGGAGCAACAATAATGTACAGTATGTGGAAAAAAATGTGTTTTTTTAACCTTAAACTGCATTGCATTACACCAAATACACAAAATAATGTTCTTTTTAGCAACGTCATATGACCCCTTTAAAGATCTGTACACTGCAATGAACATCATCCACTCAGGATAAACAAATCTAGTTTGTTTAGTGGTTTCAAGAAGCCCTATAGAATACCATTTCTGCCTCGGGGGCGAAAAAAAGGTACTCATGATTTTTTAATCACACAATTCTGACTTTGTGTTCTGGTGTTTTTTTCTCTGAATTCACAATCAGTGCGATTGTTTTGTGGATAAAAGGGCCTGTCTGGATCACTAAATGTTTGTATACATTTTATTTCATTTCCATATTTATGCTCAAAGTGCCAAATTCACATATTAAATTCATGAAATGAACATTTTGTTCATAGAATACATTTTATGATCCATGCATGTCCTTTCAATATAAATTTGCAACTCAGAGAAAAATAAAATCAGAATTGCAAGATGTTAAAAGGTCAAAATCACAAGATATAAACTCAAAAAAGAAAAGAAAAAGAAAAACAATTTTGAGAAATGCACTCGGAATTATGAGAAATACAGTCAATTATGTGATGAAAAGTCACAACTACCTTTTTTATTCCGAGGATTAAACCAGACTAGTGTCCTTGAAAGTACTTGCCTATAAAAGCAATATTCCCTCAACAACAGCATCTGTTGTAGAATTTGTCTGAGAGTGCTGAACTTACATGGTCTCTCCTGTTTTTGCAACATGCAATAGAAACTGATCCAAAATTGGGCAGGTTTCCTTTTCTCCGTTCTTCTCGAAATCTACAATGAACAACAAAGAAAATAATAATGCTTCTTGTGGAAATTTCCTTTTATTATATCGTACATTCTGTTTAATAAGACTAATGACACCTTATTTTATTGTTATTGCTTTTAATGTGCATTCATGCTTAAGCAATTTTGTATGAAGAATGCCAATGCAGCACTTTGAAATCGAAATTTTTGCTGCAGACATTGAATTGAACAGTTTAAAATACGGTCATGGAGGAAAACGGAACTATTGATATTTAAAAAGCTTTGTATACAATCTCATACCTTGAGTTTATAAACAAAATCAGCATCAATGATATATGACAGTTTCAAGGCATCACTCAGTAACTCTGGCTCCCCTTTAATACCATAATCCATTTGTTTAAGTCACACAAATAAGCGCCCGAGAAACTTTTTCGCTGACTATGCAGCGAAGTTCATGCAAGTAAGAAGTTTCTGAAAGTAAATAAGCGACAAAACCAGTGTATTCAGTGCTCACATAGTAACAGCAGTGTAGCTCAGAGCTAACCGGCTTCCTATCTGTTCCTGGGTTGCAGAGCACTTTATCAACTTCCGAGCGGGAACATCAACAAAATCAACTCAAACACTTTTTCTGTGTACTGCGGAGAACCAACCGATATCGATTACTCTTGATATTTAACGGTTTCTACCGCAGGATCAGCGACTAGCATCGGCTGCTAGTTTGATTTCCTAGCTTAGCTTACAAGCTAACGAATTTACCAAACCTTTTCTGTTAACCGTTATTGGTCAGATGGTGCTTGCGGTACCTCTAAATGCTCCCAGAAGTGTGTCGATTTCCATTGTGGAGGTATGTTTGCTACTCTCTGGTCTCTCTGAGTCCAGCTGGAAACAGAAAGATGGCAACAGCGACACAGAGAAAACAGCAGCAAATCTTTAATATGGCGCCGGTGACGTCACTACCCAACTGGCTGTTGCTGGCTGCTGCGCATGCGCATGCGCCAAGTCCTCATGTTGCTGAAAACTCTTCATTCTGCATAGACGAGCAAGGAATAATTTCTTCTAAGTTTGTTTATTTATGTATTAATCTATAACCCTTGTGCTTATGTCTACTTTTAAAGACTTTGAAGGTAAACTTACAAGTAACATTTATGTATACTAATATTAAGTTGTTTAGGCAGAGGCAGTGCAGAAAACGCATAATAAAACAGTTCTGGTTGATTTTGATGTTTTATGTCTTGCTTATGAGGTTGCATTAAACATCACTTATCAATACCATGTAATGAAAAATATGACTAAAGAATAACAGAACAATTTCAAAGGAATTTTAGAACTCAGAGCTTAATTATAGGGAAATTAAGAGCAGGGTGGTAAACATGAACAGATACGTAATTCAGTAAAATGAAAAATGGTTAAATATGTCTTGAATATATTTGCAAGGCACTGTAAATTAAAAGCTATCCAGAGGGAGGCAGTGTATGCACGACGAATATAGTTTTATTATTTAAAAAAAAATAGTGGCTTCTCCTCTCAGTTATTATTGCTAACCTTGATTTAAAGTCTTTTTGTAATTTGTTCCTTTGTGATTCCACAAATAGAGCTTATACAAATATTAAGTGTCATTAAACTTGTGTGTCTTCTTTAAAACTGTAAATGAGATCTGAATTCTGCTACAATAAAGTGTGTGTGTCTGTGTGTGTGTGTGTGTAATGACATGAGTATGACATAGGTATTACAACGAGAACATTTTGAGTGTCCCCATATTTCAAAAGGCTTATAAATCATTCAGAATTAGATTTTTTTTTTTTTTCTAAAAATGCAGAAAGTTTCCTGTAAGGGGTTTAGGTGTAGGGCAATAGAAAATACGGTTTGGTGAGCTAAACATGACAAAATCTCCAAAATCCTCCTTTTGTAAAACTGATAAAAATAAAGTTTTTTTTTTTTTAATTGTAAAAATGCAGAAAGTTTTCTGTGAGGGCTAGGGTTAAGGTGTCTATAACTATCTGAATATAAAACAAGAAGTCTTTGTAATGTCCCCAAACACGAGTGTGTGTGCCTGATGGGGATTTTGCTGTCAGTTTTTCCAGTGTTTCAGTGGAAGCAAGCACATCTGACCTTTTGTGCAAAGGAGTCACAAGATCAATGTGACAAATTTACCGGTTTGATATCTGTTTTTCAATTTGTGTCAAAACCTTTCTTTTCCCTTTTTTTCATGTTTTAATTAGATGTATTTTCCAGTTTTTCATTCTCAGTGTAGTCTCAGACTTATTTGGACTCCACTTAATTGGGCCAGTTGCATAAACCGCTTAAAAGGTTAGTCATCTAATTTTTTTTTCTATAAGACTGGTCATAACTACTTAAAGTCAGTTATAAAAAAGGGAGAATGGTCTAATTTGAATCCAAAAAAGTCAGTTTGATTACCTCTTGGCTAGCTACTAGTTGGTCGAACTAGTTCTTATTAAGACAGGGTCTCGGCTTTGTTTATGCAACTGGCCCTATATCCTATGAAGCATGCCATCTTTTTTTTTTTAATCGTTGCTATTTTTCTTCATAAGTTACAGTAAAGCTATGCCCTTTGCAATGATCACTCACAGTTTCAAGTGAGCACACTTCTGTATAAAACATTTAGACTTTTAAACGTGCGCAAGTTGTGATTGGCTAAGGACGAGGTCACGTGACGGAGCGACGCCTCGCGCTGCAGCGGTCAGCGAGTGCAAGTGTGCGATCACAGCAGCAGCGGCTCTGTCTGGAGCTCACACTGTACATTACAGAAGCCCCCTCCTCTGGAAGACGGTGTTTCTCCCATTATGGGCGACAAGAAAAGCCCATCCAGGTATAGAAACATCACATTCGCTCTGTCTTTTCATGAAGCATTTTGCGCGTTTGTGTACACTGGCGAATAGCCGCGTGATGCGGTTGAAGTCTACTTATTTTTCCTGGTCGGATTTAACGGAAAAAAGCGCAGCCATGGCGGATACGGAGCCTTGCCTGACTCCCGGCATCCAGCTTTAGACAAAGAGAATTTAGGAAACGCCTCCTCTCTTATTTTTTCTTCGCCTTTTTTCAACAGCTAAAGCCCGTTTGCCATTTAGGCATGCAAAATCGTCAGATTGCGAGTGTAATGGTGTGGTTGTGGAGGACGGGCGTCTGAATACAGCACGTAGAATTAGTGCACATGATGACACTTGCACTAATTAGGGTGCAGCATGCTATTTAAATACCCTAACCAATTCTCCCTTTAAATCTTGCAGGCCAAAAAGACAAGCCAAGCCCTCTGCAGACAACGGATTTTGGGACTGTAGCGTCTGCACCTTCAAAAACAGTGCAGAGGCATTCAAATGCAGTATATGTGATGTGCGGAAAGGTACATCTACAAGGTAAAGTGACACTGCAGCTTAAAAGAGGGAGTTATGCATTCATTACCATCACTAACACATTGCACGTGCATGCAATGAAGATGTCAACACTGATATTTTGTCATGTTGATTGTGGATTATGTCTTTATCCATACTGACGTAATGTGATTCCTGTAGAATTTCAATGACACACTAGGACAGGCGGCAGGATCCGGCTGCTGTGGAAGTATCCTGGTCTGTGTGCAGGGCCCCATTATGTGATCCTATAGGAAATGTAAAACTGCAAGATGAAGGCTTTAAACATCTCAGATTTGCTAGTGCGGTGTTGTTGTTCTGTTACGCATACCGTGCTGTTTGTTCAATACTGTGCAAAATATTAAACACATGGCCGTTTTTTTTGCAGCTTGATGCATTGCTGTGGTCACTTGGTGGAAATGAGTCATAATGCACTGATGTTATCCTATTGATGATGTTATGTTCTAGAATTTAGGGTATTATTGGCACTATGCCATGCAGCCATGGTCTCTGAAATGATATTTAAGTGGATTAGATGAGAAAAGGGGTCTGTCTGTCAAATTAAAGATCAGATATATAGGCCAATGGTGAAAAATAATGCTTTTTTTTTGTAGTGGATATTCAGTATGTGCGTACTTGTTTTGCAAAAGCGAAGCACAGATGGTAGTGTATAATTATTTTAGTGGTTTAAGATTTCCCAATAGTGGATTATGGGATGCAGCAGGGATATTTCTGACACTATTTCTAGGTCACTAATCAAATAAGCAAATTTGTGGCATTGAGCGTATGAACTCTGTACAAAATATCAGATGTTTCCACCGAAACAGATGCTTTTTGAGAGTACCATTTTTTTTATTAAACTCATTTTTATGCTGATAATTCGAATGAAAAATGTTTCATTAAATTATGAACATTTTTACATTTCAGAGAATAATTTTCTCAGACGTTTGAACCCCAATGTGTTTGACACAAAATACTGTTTTTTTTAGCAGCATCATATGACCCCTTTAAAATGGACAGATCATGAAAGAAACCCCATATCCTTTTGAAGTTTCACTCCATTACCTGTTTTCAGTCAAATATTCTAGTGGGATGAATGTGGCGAGTGCTCACTGGATTTATCGCAGGTGTTCATGTCTCTGCCAAAGTGACAGTCTTTTCATGTATTGTGTACGCCGTGAAGTATGCAGGCATCTTCTCTCGGCATAAATTGCATGCTTGAATGTAGATTTTCTGGCTTTGTTGAAGCAACAGGATCAGTCCCTGCTCTCTCATAGAGAGGCTGTTTGATGAGGCCGGGTTTATTATGCCGTTCTGAGATGTGCTTCTGCTGACTTGAGTGAGTGTCGTCTGTGTCTGGCCACTGTTACACACCAGAGTAGCAACAGCTGAGGGAATCAGCAGGGTACCACACAAACAAACTCGCACAGAAACCCTTTCTCTCTCTCGCTTTTAAGCCATTCTCATGCTGTGAAGTGGACCACACACTTATAATAAAGCAAAAAAAATGTCAAAGTAGTTTTTCACTTGTCAAAGAGATTTTTGCATAACTCAAAACTGTGGTTATACTCCATAATCACAGTTAATTGATGCAAAAAAATGCAATGTTTCCAGTCTAGGTGTTGTAAGAAAGGGTTTATGTTAGTAATTGGTGTTTATGATGTTGCAGCAAAGAGAATGTTAATTTGTATTTATTAAGCAAAATTAACACAGTTTTGTTCTTTAATAAGATTAGGAAATGGTGATTATGTGCTGTCTGTATGAAGTTAAATCTGGAACAAGTAATGTAATTAGAACATCATAGAGAGCCGCCAATCAAAGACATGAACTGCCAGCAGGGTGTTATTAACTCAGATCCATGTGTATTTACTGTGATTCTCCCTGAACTGAAATTCACTCGGAGAGGTTGTGTTTCAAACGCAGAATACACCCCTCACTCATATCCTTAACGCATAACTTGGTTGCTCAGAGTGAATCTCTCAATGCCTTCTGCTATGCCAGTATGAACAATTATTGAGAATACGAGACACGAACTTCATGTGTTGGAATTATTGATTGCATTCGTCAATAAGCATGGCATTTTTCTAAACCTTCAGAAGTAGTTGTTCTCACTTGCCTTTAACAGTGGAAAATATACATTTTCAAATATGTTAATAATACCCCATATAATACACTACAGGTAAAAATTGAGATTGGTAATATTTTTTTAATATTTTTGAAAGCAGTCTCTTGTGTTTACCAAATATATTTATTTGATTTGTTTGCATTTATTCAATCAAAAATGCAGTAAAAACTGTAATACTGTGAAAAATTATTACAAAAAAAAAAAACTGTAAAACTTTTTTTATGGTAATATATATTTAAAATGTAATTTATTTCTGTGATGCAAAGCTGAATTTTCAGTGTCACATGATCATTTAGAAATCATTCTAATATGCTGATTTGCTGCTAAAATATGTATTATTGTTGAAAACATTTGTGCTGATAAACATTTTTGTGGAAACTGTGATACATTTTTTCCAAGTTTTTTGATGAACAAAGTTCTAAAGAACAGGAATTTTTTTTAAACATAAATATTTTGTAGCATTATAAATGACTTGACTGTCATAATTTAATGCAACCTTGCTGAATAAAAGTATTTATATCTTTCCAATAAAAAAATAAAATAAAAAATAAACATATAATTCTTATACATCTATTTGTGTTGTCTCTTGGTTTCAATTATTTATAATATTCATTTTACTATTAATATTAATAGGGAAACTAGTTTTAATAAAGAATTAGTAGGTGTGTCCAAAATTTACTGTACTTATATTAGGGTGAAAATCGGTGGGGCATGTAAGGTTTTAAAATGGTCAGAATGGAATTTAAGGTTTTAAAAGTAATCATATTTTAGCAGAAACTGTCCCACTTTACCTGCATATATATATATATACATATTGGCATGTTTTGGTCATCTGATGTCCTGTTCTTTATATATTGGTATCAGTGTTGGCAATGCACTTGATTTCTGGAAACGTTTTCTTTTCCAGAAAACCTAGGATAAACTCTCAACTCGTGGCACAGCAGGTCGCTCAACAGTACGTCGCCCCACCCCCAGCCAAGAAAGAAAGAAGGGAAAGGACAGACCTGCCTGACGACGAACACTTTGACATGGACAACTCCGACTCGGATAGACTCAGCAGTCTCCACCCTGACTCCGACCATCCCGAGAGATTAGGTCTGGACGGGGGTCAGCTGGACCGTGGACATTTTCACAAGGATCGGAGACAGGAATGTGGTCTAGACAAACCGCAGCCGCTCCATACAGACAGGAGGCCTGAGAGAGCAGGACTGACCCCAGACCTGCTGCAGCAGCAGCACAACAGAACAGACGGAGAGCACACGGACAGAGTAATGCTGGACAAACTTCAGCCTCACAGAGAGCACATGGATAAAGATCATCCGCATACGGCAGGCTCTGGGATGCAGCCGGCAGAGAGGATGGGTGGAGAGAGAGAGGAACTCAAAAAAGGAAAAATAGAGAGAGCCATGATGGAGAAACACAAAGAGAGACCTAAAAGCCTCACGCCCAGTAAAAAACCCACTGCTAAGAAGATGAAGTGAGTGTTGTTATGCAGCCATGCTCTGCAAGTGGTCTTTTTACTTTTAGTTTGTTCTAATCAGATAATTGAGCTATGAGGATGTTAATAGATGGTATATGCTTTTGTTGAAGCCATCAGTCCACATTATTTCAACTTATTTTTAAAATCTTGTTTAACAGTGGAATTTCTGGCGGAAAAACAACATTACCCATGATTATACAAATAAATATTCACCAATCAAAGAATTAAAATGAGCAAATAATGTCTAAAGAACACTTTAGTGTCCACCCACTCCCAAGAAGCACTACAAATCATGTAACTGAGTTGGTACGCTCTCTGTGCTTTCAAACTACTCAAATATTTGAATACATATGCATATTTTGCTATAAACATAAAATATATTGTTTCTGTATCCATAAGCACCATTAAAATCAATAGTTTCTCCATTTTTAATTTTATTGTCATTTGCAATGCTTCATGGGATTGTAGTTATTTCCGTCATCAAAGCCAATAAGTCTTGCACCTTTGTCTTTTTGTCAGATTTTTTTTTTTGCTTCAAATCAACATTTGTAATGCTGTGATTCACTTTGTAGCTGGTTGGTTTGGTTCATGCCTTGCAATTCTTTAACAAAAACATATTTTTAATATCCCTATGAGAAAAATGAATGGAAAAAAAAACTTCTGGAGCCAAAGCCACTGAGAAGTGGACGGCTGTTATTTCTGTTATTTCTATTCAGAGCTGATTAAAACAGGAGCTGTTCAAGTATCACACAAGTATTCATTTATTGAATCACTTAATTTCATTTGCTAATCTTCAATGAGAAAAGCACCCATTTTTGTGATTCCTCATTTGTAAATCACTTTGGGTAAAAGTGTCTACTAAACGGCCCGAATCAGTTTTCTAAAGTGTTTTTGAAAAATCACTTACTCTGCCTTTAATAAATGTTAATGTTAGAATTGCAGGCCAGCTACAAAAATATATTTATACATGAATGATTAAGTCCATAAAGTGTGGGGAATGTTGTATGATAATAGTCTGTTACTAATGGCATATTGAATCAACATTTACAGGCCCAAACTCATTCAGAAAGGTCCAGCTGGGGAAAGTAACGGCATGAAGGCTGGCAAGTCTGTCACGAAGAATAATAAATCTATAATTTCACGGTAAGTTCAGAACTGATCTGCTCTTCAACAGTTGGCATGAAGTGGAAATCCACTCTATTTTCTAAATGCATCTTAATTATCTTGTTGTGGTTGTTTGTTTTTTTTTTTTCTGTAAAATGGGAGACTTCTCTCTGGTTGCGTATGCTGGACTTCTCAAGTCATTTAGTCCATTTAAACCTGGCCCTCCACAGTAGATTGCAAGCTTGCATTCAGATTTTCCTCCATCCAGTCAACAACCAATGGATAGAACCAAGCCCCCGCCTTACATTTTTTTTTTTTTTTTCAATAATCCATTACATCTGGATGTACATCACAATACGTAAAAAAAGATCTGTTGCTACGTCTGTTACATTGTAATTTTAAGGCAGGCTTTTACCTGCATTAGAATATTTTTGATTCCTACTAATGACTTCATATTCAATTTATACTGTTACTGCTTTGAGTTATTAAGAGGAAATTCAATGAACGTCTAATAGAGCGGCTGCATAATCCACGGGCTCTTTAACTCGCTGCAATGTAGACAGCTAAAACCGGATTATCATATTCAGAACCTTTGGGCTGAATGAAACATTTAAAGATACACTCAGCTGTTTATTCAATGAAATGAAAAGTACTAATAACAAAAGCATATGAAAGTAGTTGCCTAGAAAAAGTAGTTTTATTGTACATAAGAGACTACTTATAATGGATGTCCTCACATGAATCTTAATACTCTTTATCCTCTTATTAAAAGACGCATTTATTTGCAGAGTAAATTAATGATTGACTACAAAAACATTTGCTTTTGCATGATGCTGCATCACACTTCTGAATGGCTGCCAGTGCTTTTTGGAAAGATCATTTTTGGTCTCAGAATGATGTAGTTACAGCAAATACTGCATCTGCAGCCAAAACAAGCAAAAGTTACTTGGCGCACCTTTTAACGTTGCTGACTTGCTTTATATTTAAAGGGTTAGTTTAATATAAATGTTTATATGTGAATAAAAGCCTAAACTAAATCTGTTCATTGTGTAAAGCGATTGTCTCCTTGATTCATATGGATTATATATATATATTTATATATATATATATATATATATATAGTTTTCATTTTAATTTTAA